CGCTGCATGGCAACAGCAGCAGGGCAGGGGCACCTATCTGGTCCTCACACTACACCGAGGGCACAGGACACTCAGGAGGAGCTGGAAGGAGGGCCCTGTGGCTGCCAGGAGGGTAAGAAGAGTGCCCCCTCTCTCTTGCTCAGACATGGGTCGCTGTCAGGAGCATACTTGGGCCAATCCTGATACCCCCGTTTCTCTTAATTTTTTCAAAAATTGAAGCTGCGATTTGTGGCCGGCTTCCAGTGTGCAGGGGGCCTTGCCAGGATCCCTGCTCCACCATCCAGCTCTCCCATGTGGGTACTGATCTATCCCCATTTCACTCAAGAGGCAGAGGAGACCCAGGCCCCAGTGGCTCGGTCCCTATTGCCTGTCTGGGAGGGGCAGTGCCAGGGTTTGGACCCACTGTTCCTCCGCCGAGGTTCCCCTGGGCTCAGGTTTTCCTGACCACACTCCACCTACCCTCACCCCACCCCTCTCCCTGGGAACTCCACCTCCTCCACACAGAGGTGGGGGGAGTGTCCCTCTCACCCCACTGATAAGCCACACGCCTCTCTCCCATCAGGGCCCAGCCAGACTCCAGGCTGGGGGAGAGGGCCTCTGGAGACCCCCAGGAGCTCTGCCATGAAAAACTCGGGTGGGTGGGTGGTGCGTGAGCAAGGGCACACTCAGCTGGTGAGACGCATCATTTCCTTTTCAAAGAAACAGCAGGTCTTGGATCTTGTCGCTGATGCTGCAAGTCACATTAAATGACAGGATCATCCTAAAGGGCAGTTTGATCGCATATATCAAAGCCTTTAAAGGGTGTATGCATGGGCATATCCTGTAGCCCTTTAGCTCTACTTCTAGGAAACGTATCCCAAGGAAATATTTGGACAGGTGAGCAAAGGTGTGGGACAAGGGTGTCCATTCCTGCACCGTTTAAAACAGCAAGGAGCTGAAAACAGTCCAAGTGGCCAAAAAGAGCGGTCGAAATAAATCCTACCATATCCATACAATGGGATATTATACCACTACAAAAAAATTTAATGTCATCATTGACATACAGATTCACAGTCCATTGCTGAGTTTGAGGCAGGCTGGAATAAGCTGGTTACTTTTTTTGGTTTGTTGGTTAATCCTCACCTGAGGATATTTTTTTCATTGATTTGTTTTAGAGTGGAAAGGAGAAACAGAGGGGGAGAGACACACACTGATTGGCTGCCTCCTGCACGCACCTTGCCCAGGCCGGGGATCAAAGGGACAACCCAGGTGCATTCGTGCCCTTGACCAGGAATCGAACCCGAGACCTTTTGGTGCGTGGGCTGACACTGTAACCACTGAGCCAGGGCTAAGCTGTTTACATTTTGATGCAATTTAAAAATCTCCATCAGGCCCGGCCGGGCGTGGCTCAGCGGTTGAGCTTCGATCTAGGATCCAGGAGATAGAAGTTCGATTCCCACTCAGGGCACATGCCCGGGTTTCAGCCTCAATCCCCAGTGGGGGGCGTGCAGGAGGCAGCCAATCAATGACTCTCATCACTGATGTTTCTCTCTCCCTCTCCCTCTCCCTTCCTCTCTCTGAAATCAATAAAGACATATTTTTTAAATAAATAAATAATAAAAACTAAAATCTCCATCAGTAAAGAAAAATCTGGAACTGAATGCATGAAAATGTTTACTAACAGATTATCTATGGAGAGTAATGCCACAGATGATTTTTCTTTTCTGATTTTTTTCTAAAATTAACATTCAATGAGGATGAATTTTTTTACCATATATATGTGTGTGTGTGTATATATATATATATATACACACACATATATATATAATTATATTGGTTTGACTACACATAAAATATGCCTGAAAGGCTACATAAGAACTGGTGACATTGGTGCCTCTGGTAACCAAAGATGGGTGGCTAAGGGCCAGGGCATGTGGAAAGAGATTTTTCACTACATACTCTTGTATCCTTTGCATTTGAATCATATAAGTTTATATCTTTTCACAAATATAAACTAAATTTAAATTTTCAAACAAACAAAAAAAGATGTAAGGAACATCTTTGACATTTTACAAACTGCACTTTTGTGCAGCAGCAAATGTGGAAGGAAACTGTTTACATCAGAATTGCAAACTCAAATACTAGAGGGGCCAGGGAAATAAATGGAACAGAGCTGATGGGAGTGATAGGGAGTGATGGGGACTGTGGCAAACTAGGAAGCAGAGGCCCTGTCTCTGTGGCCACATGATTCTGCTCCAGCTGATTGGGCCATGCAAAAAGACTGCCCCAGGGCTGCCAGCCCCTGCAATTTATCGATAAGAGTCAAACATCCAGACTTTCATACGCATTTTCTCATTTTAAAACATGGGCGCCCCCCCCCCCATAAAAAGTCTCTGCACGCCAGTCACAGGCAGCCAGTTTGCAATCTCTACTGCATCACTGTGGAATATTCTCAGAGCCCCAGGAAACACTGAGGAACAGCTTGTCCAGAGTCAAATGGTGGTTGCAGGGGGCACAGGCTGAAAGCCGGCACCCCTATGTCAGTTCAAACAGAAGTCAGTGAACTTGGAAAGTGAATGTTTTCGGGGTTGTCAATCCTCTCAGGGGCATCAGCATTTCAACAGAGCCAGGAGTCCAAGCCTGCTCTCCAAGGTCATTTTAAGAGTAGAATTAGGGGCTCTTTGCAGCTGTCCTGAAAGAGACAGCCTCCATGTAAGGCTGGGCTGGTCAGAGGCCAAAGTGAAGGTGTAGAAACAGACTGCCAGTAACCATCACTTCCTCCAGCCTCCCCACTTCCCTGCGTCTGGCCTCCTGGCACAGTCTGCTGGTCCACACCCTGTGCAACCTCAGCCCAGGTCACATTTGTCTCTCCCTGCAGGCCCCCTGACCACACAGAGCAGAGGGGGGCTTCAACCCAGAGTTGGCTCACTCTTCTGAGTCCCAGCCCTTCCCAACCCAACAGAGGTTACTCCCAACCTCTGAGCCCCAGTTCCTTCACCCATGAAATGAGGCCAAGAACACTTTCTTAGGGTGGCTGTGACTTATGCGGGATGAAGGATAAGGAAATTGAAAATGAGAGACCATTTCTTATCCATCAGATAAGCAAAGGTTTTAAAATGGTGATACTCAGTGCTTAGGACTATATGATGAAATGGGACATTTTCATATCCATGTTTCTGAGGCTGTATGTCAGTGCAATATTTACTAGGGATTATTTGAAAGTCTATTTCAAAAGGTATATCAAAGTCTGTAGGCAAATCTGTAGAGAGAGAACATAGACAAGAGGTTGCCCAGGGCTGGGGTGTTGAGGGAAAACGAGGAGTGACTGCCAATGGGTAGATTCTTTGGGGAGTGAAAAGCTGTTCTAAAATTAGATTGCTGTGCCGGTTGCACAACTCTGCATATCCTAAAAGTCACTGAATTGTACTCTTAAATGGGCGAATAATATGGTATATTTTAATGCACAGATTTATGTACAAACTTGTCTCAGCATCATTTACAACAGAAGCAGTTTTAAACAATCCTTCCCACTAGCCCCTGGAGCACCTGGCATCCATCTTAGGGCCAAAAGAAGAGTCCTCCAAACTGCAACACCACCAAGAAACAGAATAAAAAGCTGACTGGGGAGCTAAGTCCTGATCATGCTTGCACCTGGATCAGGCCTTGCCTGAAGCTACCCCTGGACTGTGTAGTTACAAGAGCCTAAAATTCCTATTCTGCTGAAGCAAGCTCAGGTTGGGTTTCCACTAGTTATAATCAAGAAAATTATAAATGTACATGGCAGAGCTGTCCAGATACACACCCAAGATGATAGGCCTCCCAACAGTTCACATGAAAAGCCAAGGACAAAGAGGGTACCCTCTTACCAAGAAGGGTCTGCTCCGGGCCCCACTGGTTGTTAGTTTGCCTGCCCAAGACCACTGCCACTCACACCCACATAAATACACAGATGCCACGGACAGCACTGGGTGGATTTTTATTTTAATGTCAAAGGCACAGCCTCCCAGATGAGCTGAGGCAGTGACTGTGGATGCCCAGCCCAAACCCCCAAGCC